GTGATCAGAAAGTTTTCATGATTTTAACCACCTGGGAAGAGTGAATGCACAGGAATCTACCACGTTCACGTGGTTTGAGCCGATTCCTCTGAAAACAGGAAATAAGCGCAGCGGTTTATCAAAGTGTGCAAAAGCAGACATAGAAATACAGCATGGAGGGCAAAAGCAGAGTTTGTACAATTCTAATGGGCCTGCAAGGACTCAGGGAGTAGTTTCCAGGCTTCCTTAAGTACATCCATTCCCATTCTGCTTCAGTAATGTTAAGGTCCAGGTTCTGGGGAGGCTTCATCCATCCATCAGCCCCGTTGCCTCTGATTTTCAGTCTACTTCGTTTGTCTTTTGGCAGAGGTCAGCGTTTTCTGCCATTTTCCTTCCTTCAGAAAGGCTTCTTGACAGCAACCTTTCCATGGAGAGCATTTCTGATAAGGCTCGTGCCTCAGGAGGTGGGTCAGCTGGTCCACATGCATCTCTCAGTCCTGGTCCAGCTCTAGTTGACCCGCTTTGGGAATCATCAGGCACATCAATCCAGAGAACTAATGCTTTAGATCCTTTCATGGTGAGAATGTTCATGGGTACACAGAAATGATCATTTTCATTCATTTAAGTCCCATTCTCAGATTTGTACTCTTGATCTTAAATTTGAAAACAGAGAAAATGACAATTTCACATTGAAATATGACATTTAATTAATCTTCCTTTTCTTAATATCTGATTTAATTTTATATTCTGGTCATTTAATTACAAGGAAATTGGTTATTTTCTTTCTGAAAAGTTCATTCTGCCAAAAAGAATATAAGTTTACCAACATCTAAAATTTCATGGAAAAACATTGTAACCTTATTACCATCATTATTCAAGGTCAGGAACTGTTCCCTGATAAAATATTCATGTAATAAGGAAAAATCCCTCTCAGCACAGATCTTTTTCTGCTTTTTTTATTCCACTATGTCACACTGAATGTCTGAGGCAGCATTTGCAAAAAAGAGAGCAGAAGTAATTAGATTAACATCCAATTTGCTTCCGTATTGATCCACAAGTGGAATCCAAGCTGTACATGCTCAATAGTTACATGGATGCACTTTGCACGCACGCTTTCCAGGTTTCTCTTCTTAAGTGGGCTTTTTAGGGTCTGTGGTGGCTGTGGCCAGGTCAGATCTGAAGGAATTTGTGAAAAGCTCCTAACTGCAGTTCAACTGTGTCTTAAAATATTGTGTGGGTCAACTTCTTGTTAGGTTTTCATTTATAATGAAAATTTGGCTGCAAAGAAGATAAATCTTCATAAGATCAAACATGAAAGTGTGATTTATTTCAAGTTAACAGAAGGTGTGACACATGTCAGCATCTTGTTATCAACAAAATGCAAAATTCCTTTCATGCTTATTGGGGTTTGCTCATTTTTCATCAGCATTTTGTTTTGATAATTAAAACATCTTTAAAAGGCTTCCAATCTATTTTCAGGTCATGATTTAAGAACATGCATTGTATCATTAAAACTCTTCTCTTAACTCAGTGCTCGTCATACTTCCAGTACAATTCAAAATGTTACCGCAGGCTGCCTGTAAACAGGCCAAAGGAGACATATGCGGATTTCAGAATGACCAGGGCTAAACCGAGCAGTCAGAAGCATCTTCAGCTGCATTATTCCTGCCCACAGCAATAACTTCAGACAAAAGCTTTATCGTTCATGTAATCAATTCACTTATTTAGGTAGAGAAAAGTACCCTCAGATTAGATTAATCATATCTCAAAATTTTAAGCACTTCTGTTCAGACCATATGTCTAACCCTAACCCTAAAACCCCAAACCTTGCATCTTTTAACCTACCGTCCTGTATCACATACCAACATGGCTCCTGCCTTTCAGAAATTCAAGATGATAACAACAACTACAAGGTTTATTATTTATTTCTTTGTGTGTGGTAGCTATTCTCTAATCATAGAATTAAGCAGGATAATGGACCTCCTTAAAGGATGATTGAAGTTAGTTTAGTGTGTCATTAAGGCTTTTATCGCCCCTGCTTCAAAAAGCAGGAGGAAGCTCGTGTTAATGCACACATCCAGGATATTGGCCTCATCATGAGGGACTTACATGTTGACGGAGTGTTTCCAGCATCACTTTACCTCCTGAACAGTTTACAACACACTGACTGAAACTCTTCTTCTGCTGTGGGGCTTTGCATAATTGAGGATCATTTGTTCTTTGGAAGGTGTACCGAAGCATGGGAGAGTGCAGCTTTTACCACAACAGCGATGATCTCAGAGGTCAAAGGTCAGCAAAACATCGTTCCACCGGCCCGGATGCAGACAACCGTCTCCGGATTTGAAAGTGAGAGCATTTGTGTGTGAGCGCGTGCGAGTTCCTGCCGTGAAATGAAACACACAGCAGCTGACTTTATGATGAAGAATGTGTCTGTGATCCAAACTTAAGTTTAACTAAGAAGATTCTGCGAAAGTGGCTGTTTACTCTGCCTCTGTCCCAAATTTGGTCCAGAAAACCTCCTTTTAGTTTGTTTGTTTGTTACACATTTAGATTTCAGCTTTGAACCTGTGGTAGTAAATCATCTGAGGTTAGCGGCTCCTTCAGGGAACCTTCGACCTCCTTGTACTCAGTACATGCATCATCGTTTTCTGATGCTCAGAGTTTTAAATTGATGTTTGCTCAGTGATGGAAGACTGTTTATATGTTCAGCCGTGTCTCAGCCTCTCTCAAAGATCTCAACCTTTCAGCAGAATTTCCCAGAATAAACTTTATAATAACTAGACCAACTGGGTAAACTTTGACACTCAAAATTACATCAATTCTTCCACTCTGAAATTAATATTGTTCCTTGTATCTTTGCACTATTCCTCTATCCAATATAGATTGTTGGGGTTAAGTTCAATCTTGCTTCAGATTTTTAGGCAAAAGGATAAGTTCGTCAAGAAGCTCTTTTAAAAAATGCACGGTACACTAACTAATTATCTCATCTTGTAGGACGTATTTTGCATTTGATACTGCTTTAAATTAGAATACATGTTATCTATTTGATGATAAGAATAAACTTTATCGCTGAGGTATATTTCTAAATCAGCCAGTGTTCAAAATCAAAGGAATTTCCCCTTTGTGGAATTGACAATGTACTTTGAATTTAATTGAATTGAATTGAATTGAATTTAAATTGGTCTAGCACGACAAATAATTTGCTTCAGCATTATTTAAAATGTTCTAATGTTTAAATGTTCTCCAAGGCCTATCTGGGTGCTCCAGATAGAACATGTTAGGTGAATTGGAGACTCTAAACTGAACGTAGGAGCGAATGAGAGTGTGTATGGCTGGTCAGCTCTGTGTGCAAACCTGTCCAAGTTTTCTCCAGTAAAGCTCCAACTTATGCGTTGGCTGTAAGGTGAAGCTTTGGTGAGAATCTCCATGAAACACTGATTATTTTTCTTATATTTATTAAATCCATGCAAAAATAATGTCAGTCCTATTTACAGCTCATTGTCCACAGTTCTACACATCACACATAGCTGCTTTTTTCTGCTGAGGAACTTTTAAACAAACTGCTTATCACCATTGTCAGGGTGAAGACCTCAAATTGATGGACTTGTGAGTGATTTATCGATTGTTCTTCTTCAGGGTTCATTAGGAACCTAATGCTGATCTAATCTTGAATCGTATAAAGTACAGACAGCAATGCTTCCCCATCACAAAAACGGGCCACGCTGAAGCTCATCCTGTAACATAATAACCTTAACAAGAGCTGCATCTTCTCTATGATAACCAAAACCAATCATGTGCGCTGCATTAGCTGTAATGTGACTGTAACTAGAAACTAAGTGTATTTTTAAAAGTTTCCTGCTGAGCAAGAAAAAATGACAGAACCCAACCACTTATTTTATTTGGTAAATACTTATTGATCGTGCTGATGAACAGACAAATAAAGAAATCCTAAATGAAAACTCTAAACTAACAAGAAATTTTGAATAAAGGTGGAACTTTATGGCTCATCAGAAGGATTTAGATGGGACGAATAAATTGACCAGTTTTTCAGCATTACTTTCAGACAGGATGCTTTGTCTTTCAGCTATATCATGAAAATTGAAGAACAACCTGCTTTTCTCGACTAACCCTGTTGAAAAGTTACTCCAAAGCCACTCACAGAGTAGGAGTGGAAGCCAGTGTAATGCAGCAACAGTAACTAGCTAACTGGCAAGAGAATCTCACCGCGTTTGTAGGGCCAAAAACAACTATTTTAGTTTACATAAACCACCTTAGCTAAATGTAGCGTGACTGCCTGCTCAAGATGTATTGCCAGATTTGATTTTTTCATACAGTACTAGTTTGCTGGCACACCATCAAACTGTCCTGGATTACTGATACACTTAAATACAGCATGACACTTTGGGATTTGTGTGTAATACTGAAAATACGAAGCCATATAACAAAATTAATTAGGTCAAAGTGATGTTTACACCATCACATGAAATTCCTTGGCGGAATAAGTGAAACATTGTTCACATACAGCTCATTTGGGCGTGTCTATTCTTGGGCCAGTCACCCATTTTTACCTTATTTTCCATATCTAATTATTTATGGAAATGATTTGTCCAACTCACAAAGAGTTTTTGCTTTGACTATGTATACATTGTGTTCATTTTGTGAGGCTGTTTCCACTACAGTTAAATATAAAACTGTATTCCTGTTGTGACAGACAGAGAAATAAAAAATATAGAATTCCACACGCACAGTGCTTATAAACTGGATCTGACGAATTTGAGAAAAACTGTTGGATAAAAATATATTAAATAAATATATTTGAAAAAATATAAAACAAACAAACAAGCTGATGAATAAAAGACAAATTAACCCCAACCAACATTTAATATGTTTATAAGACAATAACTCATACAGAAAAAAACGTTACACGCGGGGTGACACAATTTTAACATAAATGTTCAACAGCGTCATGATCTGTGCTCTTCCCCATGCGGCCAGAAGATGGCGCACTATGATTGCGTCACGGCATTAAACAAGTGGGAGGCGCCAACATGGCGGCCTTAAGCATCGGCTCGCTGTTGTTTTGTTTCGCGTCATTCTCTCTCCAAATCTGTTCCTCCAAATTCATATCCGAGCCTTGTTACAAACCTATCGACGACGACAGACCAGCCTCGGTCAAGTAAGTGAAAAGGAACATGTTTCATCATGAGTACTGACCTGGAAGCAGTGTAAAGATGCGAGTTTCTGATTTTTAAAAAAAAATTAAGTCACCGGAAACGGTACTTTGACAGTTCTTATGTGGGTGTTTAACACTTATGACTCTTTATTCTGGCACGTTTGCAGTTACTTTAATAGTATTTGCGCAGTATACAGTATGTTAGGGTATTTGTATAATTCTATTGACATAATCTTCCTCAAGGTTGTAATTTGTCATCAATGCAGTAGTTTGCATACAACAGTCAGTTGTATATTTGCATTAAAATATAGGACCCCAATGTCACATTTTCTGACTTACCTGAAAAATCACATATATACAGTGATACGTTTCTGGTCCTTTCCTAAAGTATAGACTTTAATGCAAACAGAAATATGTGTCTCTGAGTAAAATTGAGAAGTTCAAGAAGGCTATCTTTAGTAATTGGCTTTTCAAATATTACTTTGAGAAAAAAAAGAGTTTTAGAAATAAAGTGATGATTTTTTCATCTTATGCAATCTGCAGTAATCTGCTGGCAGATCAGTGGAGTTCAACAAAGAATTTTTATAACATGAAAAGTATGAAAATTTCATAACACTACACAGTATATTTTAATGGCTAAAATGGTTAAGTTGGTTGTGTTTTTCTTTTTAACTCATTTGCAGAGAATGATAAAGCTTCAATTTAAACATATACATATGATCCTGGAGCACTGGTTGCTGTTATTACATAGTAAATAACAGGTTCATTACATTGTGTTGTTCTGAAAATGTTTGAAAAGTTTTCCAAATTCGAACATGTAAAAAAAAAAACGTCCCAATAAGACATTATTATGATAAAACAATTGAACACACCTTGTCTGATGCAGTGCCAGATACTTATGCGGGAGTATCAACTACTCCCATATCTTCTAATCGTGGGTACGTTTCTCAGATATTAGATTCCTAATGATGTTATGGTTATTTGTCCTGAATGAGGATCTGATCAGTAAGAAGTGTTATACCTTTGTAAAAACACTTCTAAATGCCTCCAAAAACACCATAACAGCCCCGAGGCTTTAATCAGTGGATGGACCGAGTTACTGAAATCTGTGTGATGGAAAGGTGGCTTCTGGCTGAAGACAAAAGCAGGGATGTTTTGACCGACAGACATTAGCGAACAAAGGACACAGGATGGTGTCAAATTTTATTAAGGCAGGGATAAACGGCTGGTACTCTCCACATTTCAGAGGCGATGTCAGTGATTTCCACAGACTCAGCTAACAGAAGTCAGATGACCTAGAAAGCCCGGAGTAGATGTAATTCACCAGACAAGTGTCGGCGTGTGAACAAAATCACAGCGTCGCATCATTTTCATCTCCCCTCTTTCCTGCTGAAGGACTAAAGCCCGTCCACACGAGTATGTGAACCAGTCGGATCTTCCCCCGTCGTGGGACTGGAGGAACATCGACGGCAAGAACTATGTGAGCGTCACGAGGAACCAGCACATCCCCCAGTACTGTGGCTCGTGCTGGGCCATGGGAGCCACCAGCGCACTGGCAGGTAACCATGACAACAGAGCAGAGGCAGAGGGGGCCGCAGAGGGACGGGCCGTGCGGATTTAAGAGACATTTATTTACCCAAAAATTGTTGACCGAGGACTGTTTCCCTGTTTTTCTCCCTCTTTAAGATCGCATTAACATCAAGCGTGGGGGAGCGTGGCCTTCAGCCTACCTCTCTGTGCAGAACGTCATCGACTGCGGGAGGGCCGGCTCCTGCTACGGCGGGGACCACCTGAGAGTCTACGCTTATGCGCACCAGAGAGGGATCCCTGATGAAACCTGCAATAACTACCAGGCTGTAAACCAAAGTAAGAAACCTGCTGCAGAATCAGTCTCATTTGGGCATTTTATTCTGTTTAAACGGGTGAAAACTGGCCCGTGGCGCATGCACCCGTTCCAGGCTCCCGTCTGCTGGTTAGAGCTGCCGTTAACACCAGTCCTGGGTGATCCGATCACAGCTCAGAGTTGAGATATGAGCCCACTCAAAGATGGATCATAACCCGATCCCTCAGTCATGGCTAAAGCACATGAGGTTAGCCTCAAAATAAATGTCCCCCTTATCAAGGAATGAGCTTATGGTCCAATTTCTTCAAGAATTAGCCGAAAACATAAGGTCCTTGTCAGGAGTCAGGGATGGTGAACATGCTTTTTTTATGAAAGCGTGGGCAAATTCCAGCACTGTGTGTCAGCTGTCTGTTAAAGACTGCGTTACACCACTCAGCTAACTCTTAATTATTGGCTGCTTTGTAAAGATATTTGACCATGTCCCTGGTTACCGATTTTACTTTAATCATCACTTAATATGATTTTTGGAAAACTAGGAAAATGAAGGAACAAGAAGGAACAAATCAACTCGAACTGCCGCCGCACAGTGAAACGTGACCATTGATTTTAGGCCATCACAGTCTGTGTTCCAGGCAGTAGAGCCGGCCTACCGGCAGCTTGGTTAAGAATAAAAACTGCTAAATCGTAATGATTGGAAATGGGGACACCGTGACACAGATTTATGTCACAGAGAGAGAAAAAAACCAGCCAGTGCAGTGACCTCATTTGGCTTTCAGGGAAAAGGTTTCTGCAGCTGCTGTCAGACTGCATCCTGCCGTTCCTCTTGTCCACCTTTTTTTTTTTTAAATGACCTTTTCGTTTGAATGCCCGTCACTTGAAATCACCTCTGCTTTCAGAGTGCGAGCTTTTCAACCAGTGTGGGACGTGCTCCTTCTTCGAGTCCTGCGCTGTGGTGCAGAACTTCACCCTGTGGAAGGTGGGAGACTACGGGGAAGTGTCGGGAAGAGAGCACATGAAGGCAGAAATCTACACCAATGGGCCCATCAGGTGGAGGAAATGCTTCCATTTATGACTGTTCTTTCAGTTTTATGAGTGGAGGAAAAAGTGTACATTTTACAGAGAGACTGCTCAGATCCCACAGCTATGCTCAGTAAGTCCCCGAGCACGCGTCGAGGGCCTAACGTAGACAGATTCACGCTGTCTATCAGTTATTTAAGGCAGTATGAACACGTTTTTAAAGTTTTGAGGGTTGTGATTGGTTAGATTCAGGAGGGAATGCCCCAAAGACACAACTTCAACAAGGAGAAGCTGAGATGGCAAAAGAAAATAGTGATTTTTATTCTAAATAATCAAAAGCGGTGAATAAAAACATTATGAAAAAAAGAGCGATGAAGGCCAAGACAATGAGTAAAGCTTTGATTTAGAGAGCAGTCAGGAGAAAACTATGAGCCCTCAATGGAGAAAAAACAGAAGACTAAAGGATAAAGCGAATCCAGAAGAACTTTCTAACTAAACATAAGCAGCTACGGCCAAGAAGACCAGCAAACTAAGGGTGAGAGATAAAAACAAGTGCAAACCAAAGATAACACATGATGGAGTGACAACAGCAGGGCTCAGCTTTCAAACACTTTTTTACCCGGTCGCCTTTCAAAAATCGCCCCGTCAAAAAGCGATTTTGAGCTCGATTTGTGGGCAGAGGCTCTTTGAAGATGTGAGAGTGTGAGCGTACACAGAGGTCCTCCTGGGAAAAATGTTTTCTGTGATTCAGAGTAAAAAAAAAAAAAGAATAAAGCCGTCTCTGAAGCGTTCCAAAGCTGCTCGAGGCGCCTATTGGCTGCAGAGGTAACCGGCCTTTATCTGGCAGCTGCGCTCTGATGGCGACCGACGGCCTGGAGGAATACTCCGGGGGGGTTTTCTCCGAGTTTCACCCGCTCTCTCTGCCCAACCACATCGTGTCGGTGGCGGGCTGGGGCGTGGACGGCGAGGGCACCGAGTACTGGGTCGTCAGGAACTCCTGGGGAGAGTTCTGGGTGGGTCTTTTCGCTTTTTATTTGATCAAATTTCACTTCTTATGTTGGAAAAGTTTTTTTTAGGAAAGACGCCCGCTTAGACGTTTTGTTTTCTCGCTTCCAGGGAGAACACGGCTGGGCCAGGATCGTTACCAGCGACTATAAGAGGGGGAAGGGCAACTGGTTCAACCTGGGGATTGAGAAGAACTGCGTGTACGGAGACCCGGTCGTCGCTCAGGGGCCTCATTAAGCCCACACGCCGCTTTTTTTCTGTTTAAAAATTGCTATTTTGTGAGATTAAAATTGAATTAAACTTGTTTATTTCAACTGCTTATTCACTGAGTCTTTATTTCTAAACTGTCATAAAAAGATGCAAATGTGGATTAAAGGGTTTTTTTAAGGAAGTCATAACAAGTCTGTCAGACCATTTATTTATTATTTATTCATTTATTTGTATTTATTGCTGGGCCCCTTGGATGGAATGTGGAGCTGGAGATATCTTCCTATTCCTCCCTTTGGAGCCATTATCACCACACTTCTCGCTGGAAAACTCTTTGTGACCGGTTACAGGCGAGCTGAGTCTCTCGCATTGAAATTCTTTTTGCCGAAAAGTCTTAGCAGGTTGCGGGGGGGGGGGGGGGGGACCCCAACCTTTTTTACTTTTTTTTTTTTTGGCGGGCCAAGAAAAAGCTGCCCAAAAACGGTGTTTGGCTGCCCTCACTTGTCGAATTTTTGATGGAATCGCTGATTTATTCTTTCTGGGCCTGTTTGCGGTCAGACTCCTCACCTTTAAACCGCAGGCCCCTGAAAAGTGTCTTCATTGATTGGAAAACGTGTGGAAATAACAGTTTATCATCCGAACAGCCTGATGGCAAGAGGCTCTCTGCCTGTGAGCACAGTTGTATAACTCTTCCTGTGACTCTGTGGGGAACAGTTTAAAAATAACCCGGCAGATTTCTTCAGTCAGTGAGCTGCTTTCTAGAAAATGTGGGATCCAGGGTTTTGGGGAGTTTGTGTCGCTTTAAAGAATTCATAAAAAGTGAGGAGAGCACCTGCTGGTGCATGAGACTTCTTTGTTTTGCGTCTGGTGAACATTGCTTTTTTCATTTCACTCGACCCAAATGATCAGAGTCTCGGTTCTAAACCTCCTTTTTGAGCTCAGACACCCAAATATTTGATGATTTGGATCCTGAAAGCTCCTGCCTGGTGGTTTGTGGAACAAGACCTATTTGTTGTTCAGCTACCTGCTGCTGTGGAGTTTTTTTTCCCCGTATGATGGCAGAACTGTAACTAAATGTTTACTCATCAATGTACAGAACGTGATACAGCTATTAAAGGGTCGCCTTCTTTCTGAGGGAATATATTTTCCAAACCTGCTACTGACATGAAATTCTCACCAGATGTCAGTAATACCCCATCTAACCCACACAGGCAAGGAAATCAAACATAGATGTGGGGAAAAGTCGAGTCCTCTATCGGTTATTCTGAAGGAACCGGGAAGTAGGAAAAGTGTGTCCCCTGAGCCTGCGTATTCTATTCAGCTGGGATTAATTATGAGCCCACTTGAAACCGGCTCATCAATGGGACGGTGATCGGCAAACGCGAGAGAAAAGGATCAAGGTGCTGCAATGCTCCAGTTAAAGTGGGACCGCAGACACCCGAGTGAAGCCCAAAGAGCTGAACCAGGTCTGGAGGGCGGAGAGGCCCCAGTCGTCCCACAGTGGATGGGACAATCCGCTCACATGCAGGAAACCACTGCTGGAGTCAGCTGCTGTTAGCTGCCTCGAATCAGGCCGCTCTTGGTTTCAGTCCAAACAACAACGCCACGCTTTTACAGGTCCGCGTGAGGACCAATTTAGCTCATCTGGAGCCCTGCTGAGGACCACCTGGTTCCTTATGGCGCGTCCTGACCCGATAGGAGAGCACCTCTCTCCCCACATCGTCTAAAACAGAGGGGCTCTTTTAAGACCAGCTTCTCTTTGGTTTCTGATGTTCTCCAGTTCCGGCCGCTCCCTTCAGGATGAGGGTGTCATGTCCCCCCCATGATGTGGAAACAACCCCTGCCCAATAAACGGGTTTCATTTCAACCCGTTCATCTCAGTACAACGCTTCCCCAGAACCCTGAAAAAACGTCTTCATAACAAAGACTTAGACTAAGGGAATAAGAAAGGGAGAATCCCTTTTGTGTGGTGGAAAAGCCCAACCGGTTGAACCTCTTCCCTCATATCCCAGTCGTCTTTCTTAGAGCTTTAAGAATCACTGACTGGTTTCTTCAGTTTGCTTTAGTCCAGTCCCCAGTTTTTTCCCCCTTCCCCTCTAGTTGTACTTTTGTTGTGTTTTCGGTTTACGTTTTCATGACCCCCAGGTTCAGAGATTCCTGGGGGGAAATAGATCCTGCAGACTCCAGATGTTTCCCTGTTTCAACACACCCGATTCAGAATAAATGGATCCATTTAAAATACTGAGCTGTGAATAACCCGGCTAATGGTGCACTGATGTGAATCAGATGTGTTTCAGCAGAGAAATGTTGAAAACCTGCAGGACGGTGGCCCTCTGGGACTCACTTACGACATCCCATCCCTTCACACATCTGGATTTTAGGTTTACAGCATAACCCCCTTTTTTTTCTTTCGAAAAATAAACATTAATGATCTGTCTCTTGCCTCTTCTTCGAATTCTCACCATCTCTCGACCACTGTGGCATCTTTAAGTTTTAGGTCCCCGGTTTTGCTTTTTCGGTTAGCTTATTAAAACATCTCAGAAGGGGTTTTATCTCAAGAGCTGAATATTGTGGGTACAAAGCATTAAAGACGACGACGCTGATGTGTCCCCGTGGTAACACACTTTAATGTGCGTTTATGAGAAAAATGGACATTAAAGTCTTGGTTTTGTGTCGCAGTAGCTCCACATACACACCCTTTTCAGATTCATATATCAGAGTTTTATCATGTTGATGGTTTTCATGTTTATTCTTCCATTTATATCCAAGCTTCTGGTCGTTTCGTTAAGGAGGGGCTCCGTTTTTCTCTCTGAGAATAACTGTCACGCTGCACATCTGGATGCATCCACTTTCTCTGATGTTTGGGGACAAAAACGCTCTTTCAGGACCACAAGCCCATCACGTGAAGCATTCCTCTCTTGTTATTCTGCCGAGCTTGAGATTTCCTTTGGGCCCCTGCGCCTTCCACCCTGCCGCCTCACTCTGGGGGGGTCAGAACCAGAGCAGAGCTTCATCTTTGGGGTTGGATTTTGGGGGCGTTGGAAATGTGAGCGGCTGAGCAGGTAACCGCTCATAATTAGACCCCTATCATTGGACACAGAGAGCTGCACTCATAAGCAGTCTGTGACTGATTAGATTTCTGCTCCTAATCACTTAATCTCATTTGTCCCATAGCGGTTGCCTCCCCTCCATCTGTTTGTGTATGTGGGGGGGGGCTCATTGATCACCGATCGGATCAGAGCGTTTTTCTTTCATTGTTCTCACACCGTTGATCACTTTTTTCCAACTATTAACTCCAGTGTTTTCCCCTCAGTGCTCTCTGACTCCCAAACACAAAGTCAAGCACAGGTATTTCAGCAAGAAGCACACCGGAAGTTGCTGGCTCTTTCAAAATAGAATGCCTAAAAGAAAACTTTTTTAAAATCTTTATTTGATCTGTTTAAAAATAGGAAAAGATGCATTTAAACACAAATAATGGTGGTGGTTTTCTCCCCAAAAAACCTCAAACTTCATATTCTGTTGACCTCCTTTGGCCTTGATAACAGCTTCCATTCTTCCTCTGATTTTTAAAATCTATATTCCGACTGTTTCTCTTGTTAAGTTCCACAGAGTTTTGTGCCCTGACGCTTTTGTGTGATCAGTTTTTGAGAATCTAAATGATGGATGTTGACCCGGCTCCTCCGTCAGCTGCTCCAGATGTTTTCTGGATGTTTGTGGGCCTCATTAATGGTTTCTTAGCAGCTATTCTTCCCTTTAAGCGTTCTTCCATGAGTCGCCCGCTTCTCGTTCTGAGAGTTTCTCAAACAGACTTCTTTCTGTCTCTACTCTTTCAAATTTGGAGATGTGTGCTATCTGTTTCAGTTACTTTGTTCCCTGCCTCTTAGCTCACAATATTTCACCACCAAAGTACAGAAATGAACAAATAATCATTTTGGGGCTTTATGGTGTAATCTAATGGTCAGCTATGATAAATCACCATCTTTATGCATTTCAAATTAAGAAAATGATCCCATCCTGTAATAGAATCTTTTTTTAAGGATTTTATGGTTTTTCCTTTCTTACAGTTCAAGAGGTTTTAAAATGACCACCTCTGAGTAAAACAATCCTCAGTTTAATTAAAAAAGCTGACTGTATTCTTTTACAAATGACAGGCAAAAGCTGTCAAATGTCTTTGGAGTCTTACTGCAGTTTTGTGTGAAATAAGTGATACTTTGATGTTTTATGTGCTGTTTTTTAAAAGAAGAACGGTCGAGAAGTGAACAAAGGACCACATATCTTTTTAGAAAAACACTCCATTTACACCTATTATGGCCACCAGTCTGAGCAAGAAGATGGGGAGGGGGGAGGGACTCATTTTTAAGTAAAATAATGTGCAATGACGTCTCTGAGGATGCAATTAAAAGAAATTAGATCAACAATTAAAATGGTATACTGAGGTGCATCATCCTGCCAAAACCAAGTGGATTATCACACGAGGAAGTTTTTGCATTTGCAGGTTTTATTCTAGAAAGCAGGGCACCGGAAATGTGATTTCCAGCTTAACCACTGAGCCGGACAGAAGCTGAGAGAAGCTGCGGAGCGCCGTGATGCTTCTCGCCATCTCGCCCAAAGCAGAGGGTGTTTAAAACTTTCTACCCCACTGTTTTATTCCATCAACGAGACTCGTGACCTCGATTTCAGTCCAAAGCCGCCTCAGAGAAAAATCTGACCATGAGCTTCACACAGCTGGAGACCTGAACGGGTCTGGATCGGGGTGAAGATGCCTCATGGACAGCTCCATCACCGCCAGTGCGCCAGTTCAGGGCATTCCGAGCGCCAAATAACACAGAAATGCCGAGGTTTAGCGCCAGATGGGTGGTTGCGCTGGTGCTGATCGGCGTCATCGGGGGTGCCTTCTTTTTCTGCGAGTACCTCATCTACTTTCCCACCATCCTCAAGTGCGCCTGGCCGAAACTCAGCCATGCCCGGGGTGGAGAGGGCATCGACGGGCGGCCCTTGGACTCAACCGTCCGCGCAATGGTGCTGTCGGACACCCACCTCCTCGGAGCTGTGGGGGGACACTGGTTCGACAAGCTGAGGAGGTAAAAAGCCTATCCAATCCATTTTTTTAAGCCCTCCATCATCACCGCCGCGTCCACCATTCCGTGCGCCCGGAGCTGAGATTGTAAACAAACAAAAAAAACAGCAAATAACGCTGACTTGTGTCCCGACGCGCAGGGAATGGCAGATGGAGAGGGCTTTCCAGACCGCTCTGTGGCTGCTCAGGCCCGAAATCGTCTTTATTCTCGGGGATATCTTCGACGAAGGCAAGTGGAGCTCTCAGAAGGTAACGCAGAGCTTCACGTTGTGCCTTTTTTTTGCTTTGTCTGCGAACCAACGCAGCTCCTGGCTGTTGCGATGGAGAGGGTGATGACGCTTTTGGAAAAAAAAGGGATATCAGCTGGTGGACGCAGGGCAGAAGCCACTGCTGCCCGCTTATAGGCAGCATCTCTTAGAATTTTGGGCCCAAAAGCTGCAGGTTTTGAGGTAAACAACTGCAGCCAGTGTCCACTTTGGATGCCTTTGCCTGGTGAGGGAAAGCAGAAAAAAAATCTGGTGCTGGAACGTCAGATGGGGTTTGATACATAAAGCATGAGACAGATGAAATACATTTTCATTGGCCATTAGACTCCGAGTCTTCCTAAAGCTGAAAAAGCTGATGAAGAAATCCTATAATATCGTATTTTCATTTGGAAAATCTGCCAAAATGTATGTATGTATGTATGTATGTATGTGTCAGTGTGAGTGCATGTGTGTGTTTGTGCGTGTCTGTGTGTATTTGTGTGTGTGTATATATATATATTTGTATGTTACTTGTGAAGATTTGGCCATTTTTCATTTTGCAGAGAAAATGCAGAAAAACAACTTTTCAAATAAACCTGCAGCAAATTCCTTTTTCCCCCCTGTTGTTGCATTATTACATTCATAGATATTGAAAAAAATATTGTGTCCTCATTGTTCAGCCACTATTTATCAAAATGTTGCAAATCGCAAAAACGAGCCAACCTGCTGCTTTCAGAAGCTTAGGCATCAAAAGATTAATCAAAGATCTAAATAATGCCCATTTATTCCCTCCGTGAGTCTATTGTTCTACTGAGTGCTGTTGTGGAATTTTTTTATATAAGAGTCTTCATTTTTCTGAGGGAGTAAGAAACAGATATTTTTTAAAAGGAGACCTCAACCTTCATGAAGTGAGAGTCACCAGCCCGACTGCATGTGAACTGTACCAAAATGCTTCCTTTAGGATTAGATATCTTATTAACAGGGACAAGAAAGCACTTCAAGGGTACATGTGTCATATCTGAATAATTTGCTCCGGTATCTGTGTAGGACATTAAACACTAAGTCCTGTGAGAGAACATGAGTCATATTTAAATAATTACATCTATGGTGATTGGTTATTGAGATGGGATAAACAGAGGCAGCAGATCTTCAAACATCAAAACTTGAAAATATTGATTTTTTCTTGAGTTGTGGAGTGCTTCAGGCTGTTTTAAGCTTCTCCCATACAGTGAGTCCGCAGAAAGTGAGAGTTCTTTATTTTTTTTCCATTGATCGGGCTGTAAAACGTTTCAGTCGCCCAAAATCAAAATGCCCCCCAATTAAAAACATTTAGAAGAGGCTAATTCTCTCATTTTAGAAACCAAAGGCGTAATTTGTCTGCTTTTTTCCTAAAATATTTAGATTTTATTCGGTATGTAAATCCAGTTAGCAGAGCACTAACACACTGTTTTACATCTAGTTTTAAAATTGTCCCTAAAACCAAAGACAATGACGCAGAAAGCTCCAAATTTTTCACATTTAAGGCACTTAGAGCTGAACGTGTTTTCCCCTCGCCGTACATAACCTGACTAATGGGTTCAGTTCTAATTAAAAGCAGCCATGTGATGTGAACCGCAAACAGCCCTGATGTAATTAAAGGTCCCTTGTTGTCTGTGGAGGCTGCTGCGAGACGCTCCCAGGTCCGGGGAATGCTCCCGGGCTCCTCAGGGGAGCTTCTGCTGTGCGCAGCCAGACCTGAAACCTGCTCCCTCCGCTGTGTTTGTGTCTCTGCAGCACTGGGAGGACGACGTGCGCCGCTTCCACCGGATGTTCCGCCACTCCACCGACACGGAGCTGGTCGTACTGGTTGGAAATCATGACATTGGTTTCCATTATGAGTAAGAAAAAGCTTTATTGTGTTCACCGCCCTCGTCAGGTTCTCTAAAAGTGGTTGATTTGCTTCCCGTTAGCCTTTTGTGAATTACTCTGAAGCTGACGGGGCCTCAACTGAGAAATTCTTGATTCATTTATCAACCTCGCTTTCATCACTCCTCACTTTTTGGAGCTCGGATCGCCTGGTTGCTTTTCAGAAAAATGTGGATGAAAACCTGCTTCACTGCAGAGGCAGCAGACAAAGCGGACCAGACGAGTTTGGCCGCATTACATCAGCTTTAAGGAAATAGTTGAGGTGTGAGCATATCAGGAGGAATTTCGGCCGACAATGCAGGGCTTGGGCGCGGAGAAACCAACCCTGAAAACACACAGGTGGTTTCTGTGTGTTCCTTAAACAAAGATCCCATCAATACAAAACAGACTCGTACTGCAAACATGGGAGCTATTGTTTCTTTTACGTTTGGCTTTTCGTACAAACTCCAGCCGCCATTCTGTACACAGCAGATTATTCTGGAGTCATGTGAGGAAATAGGCTCGTTTCTTTACTGTAGAGACTTTGTGTCCTTTGGCCTGAGCTTCTCATAAACCCAAAATGTTTTATATTGCAATTAATGAAGAATTCAGAGCGTGTAACGCTGAGTTTTGTGTCCTCTGGAAATCCCTCGGTGTCTCTAAAGCTTCGATCCGAAATCATTTACACGGCTTTACGTGTTTGTTTAGAGGATTTAACAGCTTTTAAATGACCTCATTTGATGGCTTTGTTGTGTTGATGCATCTCAACATGAGTGGAATGCACAGAGTTTGGCAGCAGGCTCGGTGTGATTTGAGAAGCAGGAGAAGCCAGCGTGACGTCGGCCATCAGGTCCTGAGAGCCCCGTTTCCAGGCCTCGGTCGTTCAGTTTTCGAGCACACTTGGATCAGAAAGTAGAGCCAAAGTGTGACGCTTAAAACCTGGTTTGATGAGAACGAGCTTCTTTAAACAATGATATCCAGAGTTGTGGAAAAAAAAGGCCTCCAGCTGTCTGATCTCAGACAGTATGATATTCCACATTTATGAGAGATGGAACATCAACTGAGGTGCTATCACAGGGTCACGATGCTTCTCTGACCTACACTGTGCTGTTTGCAGTGCTCTGAAAAGTGTAGAAACATAGAAAACAGCCCCCGAAAGCCCGATTAAACAATGACTGAATCCTCTAGTGAGTTTTCAAAGTAGCATTTCTTTACAATGCTGATGGTTGGGACTGGAGATAAACTGCCTTCAGCGTCTAAAGGAGGATCTCATATACTGTTGATTTCTTTTCACCTGCTAGATTAGAAATGTGTTGATATGGGGAACCAAAGCTACTCTGTATTTATTCTTAGAGGGAAAAATCAGCGCAGATAACCTCTGTGACACGAATCGACAAATCAGGTTTAGCCCAGCAAAGAAAAGGCTTCGCTGGGCTAAACCAAAGGCGCTGCAGCTACAGGAAATAAGAACTGGGAAAAAGGAGATGCAATCACAGCCCCCCCCCCAAAAAAAGGCCATATATTAGATGTTTTTTTTTGCATTTTACAAGAAATAAAAAAGGTATCCTTCCCTTGTTGCACAGATTTTCAGAAGTAATTTGAGCCTCAAATGAAAATAAATATATATTTTGTGAAAACATTTCTCTGTTTTTGTATGGATTCAACATGAAAGCTATTAAGAGCAGCTGTCAGGTAGCAGGCGAAGACTTTTCCTGTGTCTAAAAGCTCAGCCTGTCGGCAGCTGAAGCATTTCTCTGTCAGCGCATTTAACAATGTCTCACCCTCTAAGAGCGTTTAATTAGAAATGTTAAACCTCCATGAGAGCAAAATTGTAGAACAATAAAGCAAATGTAACTGTCCCAAAGACAGTCTGTGCTTCAATTGATTTTTTCCTTTTTTTTAAATGATGCAAATATGCAAACTTTTAAATTCAGAATGAGAAAAAGAGTCGAGGATCCTGCAGTGCTTCATCTAAATAAATCTATCTTTTTTTCAGGGGGAGGGAATTAGTTCTAAAATCCTGATAACGTTTTGTGAGATTATGTTACATCATCACCAGAACAGGAATAGCATGAACATTAGATGATAATCAAATGAAGAGTGTCATTCTCTTTTTTAGCCCAAAGTCTCATAAAAAATCAACTAAGAAGATGTAGCCGACCTTAAAGAGCATCTGTACAGCTCAGGAGAATGTTTAATCCTCAGTAAGGATGAATCTAAGAGGCCTCTTTTGTCCATTATCGGGTCGTGTCCTGTTGTCTCTATGGAGCCCTCCCCTTCTTAGTAACTGTCATGTATGTCATGTACTGTTTTTCCATCATTTCTAAGCAGAAACCAAATCAGTCTGATGTATACAATTATCCCCCAGCTTAGCGTCGGATGCCCATGATTCAGAGATGTGGGATTATGCGGTCTGGCGGCGCCTCATCTGTGCTTTGATGCGACCCCGTGCAGCAGGAAGCGGGCCGGGCGGCGCTTATGTAACAGAGCGTGACAGACAGAGAGAGACAGAGCAGCAGGTTTGTGCGCGCCGTGACAGCCGTGTGGTGTCTCCCCGCAGGATGGACTGGTTCAAGCTGCAGCGCTTTGAAAAGGTCTTCAACGCCTCCTCCACCAGAATCGTCACCAAAAAGGGAGTCAAGTGAGTGTCGGGAGGATGCGACATATGTGAAAACACAGCTGCCGGAGAAGCGTGGACGCCAGCCAGCTCCTCTCCTCAGAGAAGCTCTTTTTGAGGAAGTCAGCCATGAAAGTAAACCACAGATTGGCAGATCAGAGAGTAAAATAACATGTCCGGGGCTGGAGATGACTTCGCCAACATATGTGAAAAAGCAAATGTTTGAAAAAAAAAATACAAATGCAAAGTTAAAGGTGAGAAGTCATGTAAAGAGAAAGTGAACCCCTAAATTCATCACATACATTTATTGCTAAATCCAACATTAATTTTACTACAAAAATAGCACACAGGTTAAAATGTTGAGCGTTTCTCCATCAAATATATTGATGGGTAATGTTTTGATCCCTCTCTTAAGTTTGACTTTGAGTCTATTTGCAATGTAGGATGTGTAACTATAGCCAAACCGGGCAGCGTTGTTTGTAATGTGAGCCTTTACCTCAACCTTTATGGCCCAGAGGTCAGAACAACAGCGATTCGCTCCTCGATGACATAGAGTTGAGGAATAAGACGGCTCTAATCAATATTTTTATAACCAGGTTAAAATGCTCTGTGAAATCAATGTGCCACACAGATAAGGGGTCACTCATTCTGATCTCCCGTTGGCTGTACAGGTCCTGTTAGTGTTGATCTTTTTTTGCTCTTTTCACATGTTTAACCTGCAGAAAGACAAGGAGGCTCATTGGCTGGTGAGCACCCAGGTGTGCATCACTCAGGAGTTTTTCAATGGGCGACAGGCGGGGTACACCCTGGACGGTCCGTCAGTCCATCACAGAGACACACAGAGACACACAACCACCCACACTCACTTCCAAGGGCAGTTTGGAATGTCTAGTCAACCTAACATGCAGGTTTTTGGACTGTGGGAGGAAGCCGGAGAACTGGGAGAGAACCCACAGACACAGGAGAACATGCAAACTCCACACAGAAAGGTCCTGGTTCCCCCGGGGACTCGAACCCAGAACCTTCTTGCTGTGAGGCGATGGTGCTAACCACCACACGCCCTAAATACAGCCAAATCTTTCACGAAAAATGTGTATATGTTGTTATTTTTGGCGTATTTAAGTGCTGTGCGGGGGGAGAGCTTTGCTCTACGCCAGACTGACCGGGGCCCTCCTGTCTGCAGCTTCCTGCTGGTGAACAGCGTGGCCCTGCACGGGGACGGCTGTCCCATCTGCCAGTCGGTGGAGAAGGAGCTCATCAAACTCTCCGGAGACCTCAACTGCTCCCTTCAGGTGGGAAGAACATTTCACCATAAAGCTCCCGGTACATCCGGTCTTAGAGGTAGAACGGCCCCCCTTTGTAAAACAGTCAAACCTCAGAGATTGAAATGTGGACGCGTCCCAGGAGCTGAAATGACGGGGTCTCTCTGCTCGCTCCTCTGCAGAAGTCGCAGGCCGGCGGCGAAGGCGTGGAGGGCTGCGAGGGCGCGCGCCATTACCCCCCCACCGCCCCCATCATGCTGCAGGTGAGGCGGGAGTTTCCTGTCCCCGGGGGCCTCCCCCCAGCCTCATGTTTGACCCTTTGAGGAAGCGAAGGGGTTCGCTGATAGGCACTCTGATTTATCAGCATCACAGAGAGAGAGACGACACAGAAACAGATGGTTGGTCTTTTCAGACGTTTTTTCTTTTCATAGCATCTGAGCCTTTTCTCCTGCTCAGAGGGGAAAAAAAACTTTTCAGTTTACAACTTTTGGAAAAACAAACTCCTTTTTTTGCGGAAATCCCCCCGTCTGAGGAAGGAGTGGCGTTTTAGAAACAACACGTCTTTGTAAAAACTCTGAGTCTCAAGCTCTTCGGGTTGGATTTCCAGTGTTTGCTGTCCTATTTGACTCAGTTTGATGTCGGCGTGTTTACGTAGTCTCACGTCCTTGCGGGCCTTATTAGTTTGCCCCCTTGTTAGTTGCATTGGTTGATTTCGTCTTTGTTGTTACCTGCATTTCAACCCGCCTGCCTGAGTGTTGCTGCAGTTGCTCACTCCTTTTTTCTAAATGATTATTTTCCGCCCTCTTTTGTATTTTAGTGCATTCCTGAAGCCTTTGTCTGCTCGAACGTGCTTTGACCAAAGCCTGCTCTTTGCTTTGCTATGCCCTCTTCTTTTGTGGTCGAGACTTTGTCCAGTTTGACAATTAACCACTTAACAATTGACAGTTGACTGTTACATGTTCAGGTCATTGAAAATAAATTCACAGGAGGTTAAAAAATTAGCTAAATGTACAGCAGGTGTTTAAAGAATAGTGGTTTTGGTATGCCTCACCAGGTGCTCTGATTCTGACAGGTTTGTAAATTAGACAAAAACGGGCTCAAATGTGAGAAAAGTACAATGGTTTTGTCTCAGGGAAACCTGCGCCATCCCTAACTTTAAGCTTTCTCATGAAAGTCTGAGGCCTAACCTTAAATCAGAGTGCAGGTTTCACAGAGAGGGGCCTGATACCTGACAGCTCTGCCTCCCATTCTACTTTGAAACACTCCAGGAAGCACGAGTGGACCTGCAGCCTGAGAGCAAAGAGCTCTGCTGGACAGAATGTATAACTAAGAGATCTTTAGGATGTGCTGGAGCTTTATGTGTGAGCAGAATTTTAAAATTCTCGCCTGAAATTAACTGGGAGCCGTTCTCATGAAGGTGTCACAAAGGTCTCTGGATTAATGACTTTAGCCGTCCCCTCCTTTCGCTTTCTGATCACTGATAGTTAAATGAGCATTAAATAAAGCCTTCTTCACCTTTTAGTGAGTTTGCAAACTCTCACTGCATGAGCGAACCAGAGGGAGAAGAGCGGCAGTTCACCTGAAGTTTGGCAAACAAGAAAAAAGCCGTTAATTCACCAGAGCCTCCACTACAAGGACTGTCAGGCTCACTGACCACGTCGTCAAAGGGTTTTAAATTCTGAGAAGGAATAGATTTTTTTGTCAAGGCAAATAGATTTATGTCACACAGTTCCACAACAAGGTCATTCGGTGTTCTTTTTATGGAACATAATGTTTTTAAAAAGGTGGAGGAGGGAGGGAAGTGCAGCCAAAACTGTGAGTGAAAAACTCCGGGAGCTTGTTCCACAAGTGGTGCAAAGTGAAACGCTTCTGGGGACAAAGACGTTTCTTGAAGTGCTGGGATTTTTGCGTCTGCCCTAAACCATTTAAAGCCTTTTAAAGACTAACAGCAGTAAATTAAAATCAACTCACTGATGGACAGGAAGTCAGTGCGGCGATCTCTGGACTGGAGTGATATGATCCACTTAGCGAGGGCTGTTCTGAACCAGCTGTCTGATCGATCTCTCAGGCAGACCAGTTAATACACTGTTACAGTAATTAAGTCTTCTCAAGACAAATGCATGGGGGAGCTTTTCCAAGTCCCACACATTAGTCCGAATCCCTGAAACATTCTCCAGGTGCTAGTTGTCGTCCTATTAAAGACCGAATCCCGTTCTGTCTTTGTTTCCAAAGAAACTCGCCTCTGTTTTCTCTTTTCTGTTTAACTGAAGGAAATCAGTTTTTGCGGTTGAAGAACATTTGATAAAGTGGATCAGATTTTGGGCTGATTAAACCTGTAACCTCTGACTGAATTCCAGGACTCCTTTGTCTAAATCTGTTCTGCAGGATTCCTTCAGGCCGTTGACGTCTGTCTCATTCAGGCCGGTTCGAAAACCAGTTCCCACCGCACAGGTTAAGCCTGTCCGCTCAAAGCAAAGCTCCTTTTTGTGTTTCACAGCACAATGGAGTTTTTAATCTGGTGAGTGCGACAACATTTGAGGCTTGTCGCACAAGCAGTGACTCGTTTTTACACTGACCCCTCAATCGGTGCGCTGCCAGAGCTGAGGACCGACCAGTAAACACCCAAGAAAGCCCTCTGATGACCCTCACAGAGAGCAAATAAAAGCAGAAACCAGCCGGCAGTGAGAGCACTGTAAAAAGACACCGGACGGTGTGCGTTCTGCTCAGCAGTTTTAATGATTAATCACTCTGGAAAGTGCACACAAGAGCCCTCAAGGGGCCACTGAGGCAAAGCCGAATCTGTGTGTCCAGACAGTTCTCCAAACTCCAAAGATATAAGCTCTGACGTGGTCAACGTTTGACATCCCTCCCCTGATAGAAAGCCAGCGGGGAGCGTTGGGACTGACCAGCTGCAGTTTTTTGTGTAGCGCAGCTGGACGTGGGATGTTGTGGTCCACTTTCTGCCGGGCTGACCGTGTGCCCTGTCCCCCAGCACTACCCTCTGTACAGAGTGAGCGACGCCGGCTGCACGGGGCGGGACGCCGCGCCGCCCGAGGAGCGCCACCTGCTGTTCAGGGAGAAGTACGACGTGCTGTCCAAGGAGGCCTCTCAGAGGGTGAGTAGCTCTGGCCGGACGCTCCGAACCCGGCGGCCCGGCGGCCGGAGCGCCTGACGCGGATGTGGCTTCTCCCTCCTTTAGCTGCTGCACTGGTTCAAGCCCCGGCTCATCCTGAGCGGGCACACGCACAGCGGATGCGAGGTTCTCCATGACAACAAGTACCCAGAAGTCAGCGTGCCGTCCTTCAGCTGGAGGAACAGGAACAACCCCAGCTTCATCCTGGTGGGTGCAGACCGGACCGTCAGGCCACACGGGAGGAGGCAGAAACGGGGTTTTGTCTCATTTTCCAGCTGTTTCCACTTACATAGTGTTGAGAACACTATGTTTCTTTAACTTAACTCCCCTCACCGTCCCCTTTATGACTGATGACCAGCTGGAATGCTTCTTTATGATAATATCCACATTTGCACGATTTTTAAAAATCAAGCCACTATTGAAACACATTTTTCATGCATTTAATGCACAAATTAATTTTTGTGCCTAATGAAAATCTCTTCTGTCTCTGTACAAAGAGGTCATGTATGACAAAAAACTTTAAGACTAACTTTTATTCATCCAACCCTACCTGAATTTTTAGATTTGTGTGTTTAAATCTTTAGGTTAGTGGCTTCATTGAGCCCTGTTTACAGTTAACTAGCATTTAACAGGAAATCCATTCATTTTCTTCACTCTCCCAATCCAGTTCAGAAATGTGAGGGGGCGGGAAGCTGTCCCATCTGTCACTGGGCGGGAGGCAGAGTCCATCAAAGGACCACACAGAGACAAACACTTCCACACTCACTCCTACAGTCAGTTATTGAAAATCAATTAACCTAAAACACACATATTTTGGGCAGAGGAAGGAAAATAAGTTTATTTAATCTCCATTCTCTGGGAGAAAACAAGTATCTGACAGATTGTCATTTAATCTAATCAGAGACACATTTAATCATCAGCTTTGAAGCTATTTCTCGAGCATCAATAAACCTCCAAAAGAAAAAAAACATTCAAACAGAGAGCTGAATAAGTGGAGTTTTTTATGTGATTGTTAGTGAAGTTTTCACTTTTGTTACTGCTTTTTTTCGCCCAAAAATGCACGTTAAAATATTGCATTCAGTTGATTTTATTTATAGATATTTTGTGTTATTGTTTACTGAATGTTGTAGGCTTTTTTTTGGTCCATCAGTATTTCTTTTATATCACTGAATATTTAGAGATATGGATGAAAACATATCGTGCTGATGACTGTTTGTCCCTCTAAGCCGAACCAGACTTTAGTTTTTAGGTGTGGAGGCCCTCTGGTGGCTGAGGGGGCCTCTCATCTGCCGCCTCTAACCCTCCTTCTCCCCCCTCCCTCCCTCCCCATCCCCAGGCGTCGGTGACGGCGGGCAGCTACGCGCTGTCCAAGTGTTTCCTGCCGGAGGAGAGCACGGTGATCAGCGTGTACTGCTCGGCGGGCGCCTGCCTGCTGCTGCTCTTCATGGCTCACTGTCTGTGGATGAAGGGGCTGCTGCAGTGCCTCAGCCTGGTCCTGCTGGGCAAGCACAAGTCTCTGTGAACTACCTTACCCACGGTGCACCACCCACGGGCTCCAGGAGGATGGATGTGCGACTCCCCCCCCTCCCCTTAACCCACAAGTCCGTCCGTGCGGCCTCAGCCTGTTCGTCCGGCACTGTGAAGGACCCGTGTATTTATTTTAAACGTCTCTATCAGTCTCAAAGTTTATGAAATGCCGTCTCTGAGGACGAAGGTGAAGAGTGCCAAATTGTCACAGATGTTTTAGCCTCCTTGTGATGAAGTTTCCATTCAAAATCATTAGAAAGAGGAACATATGTAAATACTACCTGAAGTCTGATTGAAGGTGCTCTGTTTCCCGTGACTCCACCCGTCACCCCACCCTTTGAACACCATCAGTTCCTGTTGTTGATGTCAGACCCTCCATCCAGGTTTCTTACAGATTTTATGACGCACGTCCGAAAAACATATTTATCTCTTGACTTTCTTGTCAATGTTTGTGAGGGTCTTTTTTGCCAAACTGTTGAAACACTAATGAAGAACTGTACATAGTAAAGAGTTTTCTGGTGGATGAATAGAGGAGTGTGACTCAACGCACCCAAAGCCACAACTAAAATAATGTGTGTTTGCAAATAAAACTGCTGAACAAACCTGTAATGTTATTTTTGGCAGGCCTGTTTTTAGGATTCACATGTAATTTAGTTTGACACCATTCAGATCTTTTTTTCTTGGTCAGTTAGATGCAAAACAAATATATTTTTTACATAATTTTTAACACAAATATCAATTTTTGTTTAAAGTCAAATAAGAGAATTGGATGTTTTTTTTCTTTAAATCAACATCTGGATACTTAGTATTTTAGTATGTTTATAGTCTATCATATAAAATTACATAAAATACTATTAACCCATTTCTGTTCATCAGATTGCACACAACAAACTATGTGTGTAGTTAAACTGCTAAAGGAACTTATCTCAGTTCTCGCCAAACAGCAAGAAGCTGCAGCACAGCAGGCGTTTCATCCAAATGGAAAACACCGGTGAGGTTTTCACACGCTAAGTCAAACACTGACGTTTCCTGCATGAGGAGTGCGTCGACCTGGGTTACTCTGCGCTTTTTCGGACATGTTCTCCTGTGAAAGCTCCAGTAACAACATCTCTATGTTGGGCTAATACTGTTGCATAGGTTTACTAAAGTTAGTTTGACTCACGTTGACTCCAGAGTTGGATTAAGTTTGTTCACGGTCTGAGCAGCAGTGCCGAGCGAAGGGCATTTAAATAATAATAAAATAATGTTGTAAAAACTCAGCCGGCTCATATCCAGCCCCACACTGCTCACTCCAACATCCTGAAAAACAAACCGGAACACAACTGGACACCAAGATGGAAATAAAGCAAAGTCCTCTAATGTGCCTCTTTATTTAAAGAAAATAAAAACGTCATTTAATCATCCTTCCAGGCCAAACAAGGTTTTTGCACCTCCAGTCAGTTCACTCTCTTTCGGGGATAGACGTGTACTGTAGCAGAAGAAAAGGCTGATGCTGTTTGTACAAGGAGAAGAGCTCATCTTGTTGGGTGCTGCTCACACATTCATAGTGCCTGTGCCATTAGGTATGGCTCCAAAGGACCAAAGAATTACTAATATTGCACGCTCTCATTTATTCATCTCCATTCTAAACATGCTTTCCTATGTGTGTATGTATACATATTTACCGTATACATACAAAGGTATGTACACCTAGGCACACACATAATTAAACATGTATAATTGTACATATATATTTATATAGACCTATAAATTTACATGTACATACATTTATAAAATTTTACACACAACACGCACTCGCCCTCGCACACACGCCACTCACACACAATGCGTCTGTGAGTCTATGGTTGTTTTATGTACACATGCGCACAGGCACTCACATCAGTACAGATCTCAAACACACTTCATATCGAAAAAACAAAAGAAACAAACAAAGAAAAAGAAAAAAAAAAAAAAAGAAAAAAGTTGGTTCCTATTAAAACAACACCAGGTTGCAATTTGGACACTTTCAATGGATTTCCAATGTTTGTTTAAAGCTGTGAAATTCAAAAGAAATTAAATTAGTGTGTGCGTGTGTATGTGTGCGCATATGTGTATATATTTATATATATATGCACACACATACACACGCACGCATGTCCTTTTAATAAAAAGGAAAAAAACAAACAAAAGGCATGGCGCTGCAACATCTGGTCTTCACTGCAGGTAAGTGGTTAATTTGCATAATGTATACAGGTTTTTAGGATTTTTTCCCTATTTTTTTATTTTTTACTAAACGGCATTTCCTTTTTTTTCTTTTTTTTTTTTATAAACCAGAAAAAACTAAACTCTACAGAGAAAGTCCCCCACCCGCAGCCTTTTGCTGCCGATAGAGTTTGACATCAAGCTGTACAGCGCAGTCGAAAACATACTTACATCTGAGCTCATTTACAGGTACAGCCATAATCAAGGCACAAAGATCTACAAGTAGATTTGTTTTTCTTTCAATTAAGTTGTACAAAATAATATTACATTTTACAGTCTGTACAGGATAATTCAACCTTGCACAGTGTACAAGTTAACAAAAACAAAACCAAAAAAAAAAGAAAAGAAAAAGAATACATTTCTCTCTTCCACCCCACCCCTCCCACCCTCCTCCCAGTCAGTATCTCTAAGCTAAAAGGATGGTTTGGGTGGTAAAAAGACGCAGGTCCGAGTCTGTGGAGGCAGCAGGGCTAAGGAGCAGAGAGCTCAGTCCCTTTCCCGTTATGTGAATCAGTTTTCATGTCGTTGTGGTTTTCTGCCCCCTCCCCTCTTTAATCTCTTGCTTCCACACGTCTCTCGGCTGCTCGGTCCACCCCGCAGCTCGGCAAGCTAACATCGTGAAAGGGTAATAAATATTGTGATGCTACATTGTGTGTATGCTTCCTCTGGAGAAAAACAACAACGACAACAAAAAGTTATTAAGGAACCTGATGCAAAGTGCATTTTCGTCTCTTCGTCCGCTCAGTTCCCCTCCATCCACTTGGAGCAAGTCGGAGGGGAGAGGAGGAGGAGGAGGGGGTGACAAGGCAAAAATAAAGATTAAAAAAAAAAAGATAACAAGAGGTGGGAGGTGGCTTCATGGTGGTTGTGCCAGCGCTAACCGGCAGGTGACACACAGACGGGCAGCCGCTCGCTCACATGGCGTTCCTCCTTTTCTTCTGCATCGAGGTCCTGCAGGTGTGTCTCCGTTCCCACACCCACCAGTCCAGGTCCAATGAGAAAACAGAAAAAAAAAGAAAAAAACAGGACAAGAAGGGGTCCAAAACAGAAAAATTCAAATAAAACAAGGAGGTAGCCCAAGGCTTAGTGGAATGACAAAAATCAAGGCATTCGAAAAAGGAAGTATTCAAAGAAAAATCTGAAAAAACAAAACAAAAAAAAACTTTAAAATCGAAGCGGCACACAACAAACGTGGTTCCCCAACCTGCCTTTTACACGGGAGGAACGGGACAATCGAAAAAAAACAAACAAAAAAAAAGAAGTACAAAAAGAGTAAAAGGTTAAAAAGAGGAAGAGGATTTGACACACTTCAGTAGTACTTCATAGTCCTCGACAGGCGGGGCTGTCTGAGGGTCTCTTACGGGATGTCGGGCGAGGAGGCGGGGGGAAGGGTCGGGGGGAGAGGAGGAGGAAGAGGAAGAGGAGGAGGAGGGGGTTCGTGAAGGGTTCGCCCGGGATGCAGAACGGTGGAGAAAAAACACAGAAGGCTGACAGAAACGGGCTCCCGTCCATCACAAGAGTTCGTATTGCCGCAGGTGCATTCTCTGGATGATGTCCCGGCAGTCGTTGAACACCCGCCGGATGTTCTCCGTGTCCACGGCGCAGGTGAAGTGGGGGTAGCAGTAGTGCCGGCCGTCCGCGCTGGCGGTGCTGATCCGCTAAAGGGGGGGGGGGGGGGGGGACCCCACACCCCCCCCCCCAAAAAACAGGCAGGGAGGGGGGGCGGGGTCAGGAAAAACCAAACAACCCCCCCCCCCCCCCACCCCGCTGTGCCTGTGACTCAAACTGTGAGTCACCACAATCTGGATCAGCTCCAACGAGTCTGCTGACATTTTGAGCTGTTCGGCCTTTTCCCTGCTTTATTCTTTCTAGCTGATATTAAAAAAGCTATTTCCTCCTAAAAATCACCTTTTGTGACCACGGATGAGGGCAACGTCTGATTTGAAGGAAAGACTGGAGATGAAGGAAGAAAAGGGAAAACCTGGGAGCTCTGAAAAAGGTCTAAATATACCTCCCTCATCAGATAAATGCTTCATACTTTCAACAAGGAACAAAAAGAACCACAAATAAAGTGACAATATAGATAATTTGAGTCCGTAATGTTTAAATGTATCCATGGGAACTGCATCTAAAAGTGCAGAACCACTACATAACAGCTCTGTTTTTCGTCCGATTAATGCAAGCGTATGCTTTAATCGCAGTAATCAGAAACACAGATGGGTGAAAATCTCGCAGCTTATTTTTCTGGATACTTGTCCTAAAAAGGAGGTCTGCATCATTCAGAAGAAGGTTCACCGAGTTCAGAGCCCATTAAAACACAGAGTCAGAAATTAACCGGACGGGCCTATTCATGCTTGGACACTGATTAACTTCGGCTCGCCTCGAACGGGCCAGACGTGCTGCGGCCGACTTACAAGAAACTCGTCTCGGATGAAGAACTTGGCTCTCGTCACTCTGGGGTCTTCACCGGGTTCGGGAGTTGCTGTAAGGGCAGCAGAGTGGCGGTTAAAACAGACACCAGCGTTAGAAGAGTCAGAGCGTTACAGCGGGCTTAGCCGGGCTCAAACCTTCATTTGGTATGGTGTAGCGAGCATATTCAGGGAAGTAGTCTTCGATTTTGGATTTTCCAGCTAATACTTTCTCAGCCAGCATGTCCTGCTTGTTCAGGAATAATATGACTGATATAGTGCGTAACCATCTGAAAGACAAACAACAGACACCAATGAGAAAAAACAGAAACAACATTTTGCATCCAACATTCTTTGGTGTTTCACGTATCTGCTGTAAAACTGTAACAAATAGGACAGATAATGAGTCAATTACCCACACCGTTTTCCATCTAAACCTAATTCATATGCGTGTATGATTTTTTTCTTCAGGTATTTAAAAAGGGCAGAGATCTTAATATTTTTCCACTTTGGGAACAAAAGAATTCCACATTCTGCAAGTCGCATGCAAACAGACTGAAAACGGGCAGAATCACACTTTGTGCTCAAATAAGAACCACCATTCAAGTCGCAGTGGAGCTTCATGAATGAATAAAGGACGGGGAAGTTATTTTGAAACAAATTTTAGCCCAACAACTGACAGAAATACTCATACAGGAAGGACATTTTCTCAGACTGACATATTTCCCTACAACACTGCCACTCGATTTTGCAACATTGTGTATGCATATCTATTTTCTAATTTATAGACAAGCAAAGAATCTAGACCCCTTCAAATGCAACAGGAATTTCTAATTATCTTATCAAACTTGTAGTTTGTTGGCCTGTAATCTTGTAATCTGCTCGGTTTATTCGGCTTCCTGGCAAACAGAGCAGCAACACACCACAAGAGTTCAACGTTTTTCCACAGACTCGGGGGGAAATGCTTCGCACATCTATCGGAGCCTGCAGCCATTCCCATGGGAATCAGTGGGCTTCCGGCTGACTTCCGGTGTTACGGCACACTGCTCCAGATTAGAAAAATATCAAAAGTCTCGCCAGAGACAATTAAAGTTAGAAAAATGAAAGAATACGTCTATAAGTCTCACTGTGAGCAGAATTTTGCCCCCCCCCTCCCTCTGGTGTGATCTCATCTTGTAGCGAGCTGAGCCTTCTCAGCCACCGTACTGAGCACACGTAGACAGCTGCACACAGCCCGCCTGCGTTCAGCCTGAACAGGTCAGAGTGATGATGAGCATCATCCTAACAGCCAGCTGCAGACCGACAGGAGGTGGGGGCGATGGCCAGCCGCTCGTGGCCGTGCGCTCTCCCCTCGTTACTGTAAGCGCCACGGCGCGGCTCGAATGAGGCGTGCACGCCGAGCTGTCGGGGCGAAGCCGGGATCGAAGCCCAGACGGAATCCTGAGCAGACCCGACCCTCCACCCGGCGTGTGTTTGAACTGCAAACAGTCGCAGCGACAGACGGCAAACAGACGCTGCTGCGGGCGCTGCCTTTTAGAGGAATCTGAGGGATAGCTAAACAACGACGTCCCACACAAGGGATTTCTTAACCGTTTGACAAGTGTGGAGCCCTAAAATGATTTCCTAGTATCTGTGAAAAATAAATGGGCATTTAAAACAAAAAACGGATGAATGGTGTCTGACGCTCACACAGCAGACACAAAAGTGACTTTCTGAGCTACACGTCCCCACCCTGAAATGATGCACAGGACAGCAAGCTAATATCAAATAAATACATTAAATACAATAAATAAAAGCTTCCAATTTAATATCTGGAGATCTGTAAGACTCTAAGATTTGAACATCTGTGTAATAAAGCAGCGGAGCATCTTCAGGCCTTCTGGATTTAAATTCAGAGGGTTCGACCCACCTGTTGTTCCAAATACTGCGGAAGAGGTCCAGAGCTTCCCGTAGCCTGTTGGTGTTATTGTCTTCCCTTATTACCATGTTGTAGCTGCTGCTGGCCACCACAAAGATGATAGCAGTGACGTCTGGAAGGAGAGAGGAGGATCTGTGTCAGGACAGCATTTTGTGCTACAAGCCATTGGCTAACATTCTAACTCAGGTTGAAAAAAAGGCTTAGAAACGTGTCTGGACACCAGAGAGGGGCTCAGAGATTAAACACTGGCCAATCACGGAGCAGGTCAAGAATTCCTTAAGATGACTGAGATGTGAGAGGAGGAGAAGATGCTGCTGGTGTGGGACGTGCCATGTGCCTCTTCGGAGGGGGACGAGGAGTCTTACCATTAAAGCACTGGATCCATTTTCTCCTTTCATCTCTCTGGCCTCCAACATCAAACATGCTGTGGAGGAGAGAAAATACTGGGTCAGAGCGGAGACACAACAGCACACTCGCTGCTGCCCCCTGGTGATCAGAGCCTCAGCTCGCCGGGTGCTAAATGAAACATTTCTCAGCATAGTGCCGTATGCTGCACTGGGATGTTTGGAAGTCATCACAGCCGAATAATCACAAACGGACACAGAGGGAATTCTTGATGGAGGGCTTTTTTTCTCCATTGGGGATGGTATAATGTGACACAAAGACCCGTTTCAGATGGCAGAATGAGTCTGTTGTGTGTGCGACTGCAGAAATGTCGTCAGCGAGCATCAAAGTGATTCCTAAAAGTTGAATTGGTGGCTTCTAGAACAGCAACGAACAGTAAATAAATGTCATCTGGCTCCGTGAGGGAGAATTTTATTTCTATTTTTTCAAAATCACATTGGATTAATTTTGCATTCGACTCGGTTTTCATGACGTGCATTTCCACCTTGGCTTCCGGTTGCCCGGCGGCTCGATGTTCAGACTTTTGTGCGAGGACACGCTGCCGTTAAAGCGGACAAACTTATGACATTTCAGGCTCCTAACACGAGGCAAAGGTAAATATAGCAAAATCGCCCGGGAGGGCATTCCAGTCTGTGATTATTCTTAACAGTGATGCAAAAAGGGAGCACTCATTCAAAAGTTAAAAAAAGCACATTACTGGAAAATGGCCCCGAGGGCCTCGGTTTCCAAAAGTGGGTGACAAAAGTTTGGTAAAGTTGTGGCCAAACAGAGACCGGCAGAGCGGATGTGGACAGGAGAGAACAACGCTTCCTTATGTGGGGCATGAATATTTTATTTATAGAAGAGACAGAATGTGCTGGAGGCATATTATTACTGATGATTTCAATAGGGTCGGCGTGCGTTATTGGTTTTCTCTTTATTCCGTTTTTATTTCTAAAAGCAACCACATCAAACATTTCAACCCTTTTTTTAACCACCAATAATATATACCAAAAAAACAAAAATGATCCTTTGAATATATACCAGTACCTTCTATAGATGTGTTTAAGAGTGTGCTATGGCAGAGACTTACTGAAAGTTCACTTTGTCTACTTGGAACCTCGTCTCGAAAATCCCTGAAGTTAACACTCGGCAGCGTAGCAGGTCCTGTAAGTGGCGGACACAAACAGAAAAGAGGTCAGGAAATGATGACAACGGCAAAATCATTTATGGTTTTTATCTTTTTATTTTTTTACTTTGCAGACTAGCAGAACTGACCTGGTCTGTTGGTGTGTAGTCGCCCTGTCTTACAGAGTCAATTCTGTCCAGGAAACTGTAATCAGAGAAGCAGAACAGATTCAGATTTGGCCGTACGATGAGGCCTTTTTTGATGGACTCTGCATAGATTTGGAAGCATTAGAAACACACACACACAAGAACATCATGAATAGAATGACATCTGTCTCTATAAATACTGACTGAGCAACATACAAAACCAAATAACACACACTGAGTCACAGTCCACCCAACAGAACAAAGTCGCTTTCATGCCAAGCCTTTTTTTAAAGCGTACATTTACATAAGCCCATCCGTGAACTGCAGCTATTATCGCAGGTCTGATAAGAGACAGCCGCCATGTCTGAGCCCCCGCTGAGGCCTGGGAGGCAGGCGCTGGCGCCGGCGAGCGCCACAAGAGGGCAGGCGTGCTCAGTCTGGGCTATTTTGGTCTGTCTCTAGCCAGAGTGATTACATAAGGCGGTTATTGTGGAGGTTAGACAGCTTGCTGTCGCCGTCTCCTCACTACAGAGAGAGCATGTGCAGCAGAGGAAGCGGCGGTGGCGGCGGTGGCGGCGGCAGCTGGGCCGCTCTGCAGCACAACAGGCAGCGAGGCCAGAGACACACCACCACACGGCTCTCTGAATGATCCGTATCACTATGAAAAGAGCACGGCGAGGCTATTCCAAGGGCCACGGTACAGTCAGACGCAAATATAAATAAATAAAGGCCACTTGGTGCAGCTGCTGTGAGAGACACACACTTTACAGGTATCCCTACCGCCACAGAGCCCTGACAACAATGAATAAGTCGGTCCGTTTTAGAACATTATGTGGTGTGACAATGTGACTGTCAGACCACAGAAGTTTCAGTTTAGACGATCGGGGTTGGAGTTGAACCGACATGTCAGCAGCAAAAAACGCTGATTATATATTCTAAACAACAACAAAAAAACAAATAAACAAACTTAAGTCTCCCTTGAATGCTAACTCAAACAACACATGACAACTAGATCGAAGTACAAACTAATTTTGGAGCTTAAAACCAGAGAGAAAGCATTTAAAAAATAGCCCGCGAAGCGCCACTATAAAATATAATACGATGAAAACTACAAAGAACGGCAGATTTCTTTTCTGTAAGAGCAAATAAATTACAGGTGTGTCAGTGATGGCCCAAAGAGAGCACAGTTCCCAGAACTGAGCAGAAGTTACTGCGTGACTCCGGTAAGTATGACACAGATATGGACCAAACAGGGTCATCCTCTCAGCATCGCTGATTTTCTAACTACACCATCTGCAGTTTCAGGATGTCACCACACAGACGGCACAGCTGCAGCACACAGGAAACCCCATGCACAGGAGAACAGCGTTTACGGTAAGGGTTTCAGCCGGGGACGACTTCGTTTTCACTTCGGCCCCAAAAGTAGCACACCAACACACCCAACCAGGATTAAATAACCCAGAATGAATGCTGTATTATAAACCATTAGATAACAGCCACTCAGCTCATGTGCTCCAGCGATGTTTTCATCACACTGACTATTTCTGCCTCAAACAGTCCACACGAAAGGAGAACTAAGGCTATTTCTGAAAGGAGCACTCAACTTTCTCACCCTGATTTTAAGAGATCTACTGTATCAACAGGAGTGGCTGGGAGTGGGGAGGAAAAGACGGTGACATTTCAAATTAATTTCATGAGTTCTCTTTCTGCTCTTAACAAAGAATCCTGTTACTGAAGAAGAAACACTGTTCAAATTTAGCAATCAACAACTAGACAGAAACCTGTGTGTTGCACATGATTAATTTATTATTTCATCCTTTATCTTAAGTCATTATAAACTGATAAACACACACTGGCACAGTCTGGAGCATATCTTTTGTACATCTCTTTCTCATTTATTATTTTACAACACTATGTACTCTTTAACCAGACTGATTACTGGTCTAATCCAGTGTGTAAAATTCTCACAATTCTTTTCCGTCTTTAACTTACAACCCGGCCTTTGGACTCTTGCTCCTTTTTGGCCAGATTGCAAAACTGAATGGACTTTTTAGACCTCAACATAAGCCTGTCTTAAACAATCGCACCTGTCTTTACTTGCCAACCACTGGAGTTTTGTAAAAGAAAGGGGTGATTGTAGCCCGTTTAGATGATTTTGTCCCCATTTTCTATGGATAGGCTGAGGGATTGTTTTTTGTTTTTTTTTAAAAGCTGAATAATGAATCATTTCAGATGATCTGAGGTGACAAATGTAAGGAGCATTTCAGAATTTAAAAAGAAATTGTTCCTTTTTTTGTGAATTGATTTTTTTAAAATTGTCACAGAAGATATCACGTCTTTATCCAATGCTGTAACACCCAGGGTGGGAACCACTGCCCTGTCAGCGTCTTATGAGGACAGATAAACATTCTGCTGACTGTTGAAGATTTATTGACAGTTCACAATGCTCTAAATGGCTGAAAAACGGCAGGAAAAACATACTATACATTTAAAACTATTACTTTTCTCATTAGTGAGGCTGTCGACTTTTTTCTTGATCAACACTTTAATCCATAAAACATCTATTTGCAGTCAAATATGATTCCATAACTAAATGTGTTTAGTATTTGCGTGTGGAAAAAGTAACAAGGCCTTGACCCGTGTGAGAAAGTTTTATAATGCGAAAAACACAGAGCACATTCAGTTTACACAGAAGAAATTATACAAGTTAAGTATAGACAGAAGAAAACAGTGTGAGATGAACCGTTTTCCTCCTATAAAATGCATAAATGAATTTGTTTACCAATTATCTCCTCTCAAACCCTACACTGTATAACACAAACAAACTGATATGACACCCGAACCGCCAGACACGTACTCTCTCACAAAAACACAAACTCCAGCCTCAACACTGCTGCAGCGTGGAGTATTTTTAGTCAGTCTTCCTCGCAGAAACTTAGCTAGGTTATAATTACTGAGCCCTTTTATGAATGCCATGTGACAGAAGTGCTATTGGTAGAGCACTTGAGATCCAAATATAGTCTCCATAAAAGACAAGAATAAATAAAAGAAAAGAGCGAGGGTGTTGAGTCCAGGAAAAACGCTGAAAAAGATAACATTGATTACCGTGTGGCCATCCAGATAATGCCTTATCAAAAGCTTTGGGTGCAGTTTTTTTTCGGTGACTACAACTGCTCTGGCTGGGAGCTACAAATAGACGAGCTGAGTTTAATGTTCAGGGAAATGTGTGGTTTTTGCCATTATCCCTCGGTTTCCTCTCAGAACTGAACTCTGTTGCCATCAGTGGTCTTTGTCTGATGTGGTCAGTCTGTCAAACTTGTGGTGGGAGGGATGGCCACTGGTTTTTCTACTTTATGTCCGGTACAAAACCTGGGAAAAAACAGCCGTTTCAAAAGAGGGCCCTCGTTCTTTTAAGATCGACTCCGATCGTGTGCGTTGCAGCTGCTGCTCTCTCTTTTGGGTTGGGTTGGCTCTGTATTTAGCCTAAACACACTGTACTGGTCCTGCGGGCCAGCCTGTGCTGCTATCTATAGCAGGGGTGTCAAACTCCGGTCTTCCAGGGCCGCCGTCCTGCAGGTTTTTAGACATTTTCCTACTTCTGCACACCTGATTCTGCCCAAAATGGATCTCCCGTATACATTTCTGAGCTTCACACGGGCCGGCAAATGGCATATGGATATGAATCAGGTGTGTCGAAAACAGGCGAACCTCTGAAAACCCGCAGGACAGCGGCCCTGCCGGAGCGGAGTTTGACACCCCTGATCTATAGGTTTGTTATGGACAGTAACACTTGGTCTGCTCTTTCCATGCAACACGACACAAACAGGAACACACACACAGCCTGAACATCACCCAGACACTCCAATATGCTGAGAGACGGGTTGATGTTGGGGGCCTAAGGGCTCGGCCTCCACGTGGTGCGGGTCACATGTTGCTGCCCATTGAGCAGAAAAGGGGGCAGAGAGAAGATGGTGGTGATGAGGAGAGGCAGAGGATATTTAAACGCTGCATAGTAGAGATTTCAGTCTTCCTCTCACACCGATTTAAATTTCTTGTGCCATTATGTTGCTTAGTGCCACAGAAATTAAACTTAAAATGAGAGCTTTAGACAGAGTGGAGCACGTAACTGGTCATTTCAATTGTATTTGTGTCAAAAGATCTACAAAGCAGAACAATGGTCAAAAACAAAAAGCCATATTAAGTACTGTCAAAGACTTTTTTTTTTTTTTTTTTTTTCCTAATAAACATCAAGGGAAAAAATAGTCCTCCGTCCAACAGACCGCAAACCTTCCCACCAACCAACAGCGCTCAGCCTCATGTGCTCATTTGATAATTGGGTTGACTTTTTACAAATAGCAGACCATCTTTAATTAGCAGGATTGGATCAATAGTTTCCATATTTTGAGCCGCTCCGGCCAGCGTAATGGACTTCCACTTTAGTCTCCAACTGACTGGTTACAGGGCGTTGAAACCCGGCAGAACCACCATGCTGCTTCTGACCAGAGTGGTTTTTATGTGGAGGTCTGGAGCTGGCACGGCGCATTCGTTTTCTGCTGAAAAAAATCGCACCGTGACCCAGCGGTTTTCAAGGTTTACTATTTCAAACTCAAATGTATGAAAGAAATAAAAAAAGACTATCAACATTCATCACTCCAAATAACTTCCTGGCTAACAGGAAACATCTCAAAATAGTAGTTACCGGACGCAGAAACGGGAGTAATTCAATCGATACTTTTAAAAAGTGACTTAATATCTAAAACAGACGATTTGTAAATGTGGGTAATGACCATTTTCACTACCGATTCATATCCTGACAGAAAATATAAAATCCTAAGGACAGTCGTCTACTTTATTAACTTAACAAAAATACTGATATCCGTCCGCAAAATTCTTATATTTGAAGGTCTGAATAAGTCATCTGGACACAGCTTGGTGAGAAGAGCTTTCTGCCAAATGGTCAACCTTAAACTTCCCATAAATGATAAAGTGATGATAAACAGCTAACATTCCTTTAGCACTGCAGGCAAAAATGGCTAAAACAGTAAAGATGTTTGTGTA